GGTACAGAATTCACGACCAATCATTACATGGGTTTGACCGGGACCACAACATTTAACTCTCCTGCTGTGACCCCCTGATGATGAAAGTGGAGTAATTGTTGGGATGCCACGGAGAAACCGGGGAAGAACCCGGAGGAAAACTCTGTGATGCCTGGACCACGGCCTTGCCCAACACAAGTTGTAAATCTGAGCACTGCCGGGAATCGAACCTGGGACTCCAATATTACAAGACCAGCATTCTAACCGCTAGACCACCGTGGCTGGTATATGATACATAAGTGAATATAATATAGAGCAGCAGTCGAATGCTGAAGAACTCCAAGATAAACCTGTACTAGTGACACTTTGCTCACCACAGCGTACAAATAAGACAAGACACAAACCTTCCACTGCGTTGGTAGAGAAAAAAGCCAGGTTTTTGGTTTCAAGTGGATTCTCGTGGGTAAACTCGGGACCTCGACTCTGTGGTTCAGACTCGCCGGTCAGTGACGAGTTGTCCACCTTGAAGCCCCGCGACTCAATGATTCGAACATCCGCTGGGATACGATCACCAAACTTCACCTCTACTACGTCGCCCAGTACAATGTCTTCGGCGCGCAACGTCAGCTTTTCGCCGTCTCGTAGCACCGTGGCAAACTGCAACAACCATCACAATGCTGTACTTATAGCCTAACTACAACTGATAATCAACTGTCTGACTAATCAAAGAAAGGGTGCAGAATTTATTCCCTCCAAATAACAACGAAAAACATTTTGCGTACTAGTTATACACAAACAGTTCCGTTAGAAATTTCACTAGAAGCTGCGACTAGAAACTGAAATTAGTTCATTCCATTTTGTGTTTGAACAATAACACATGGGGTCCGCAGTGGCCGCGCGGTCTGATCCGTGGGCCTTCTGCCGCTTGGTCCGTGGGTTCGAATCCCACTCAAGCCATGGATGTCTGTCCGCATTCTTCTGTGTGTGCTGTCCTATGTACAGGTAGAGGCCTTGCGACGGGCCGATCCCTCGTCCAAGGAGTCCTACCGAATGTCCATAGATCAAGCCAACGTAAAATTGGGACCCACAGAGCTAAGGCACTTGAAGAATGGGTCGTTCCCAGTATCCCAGTACAATAGCATAAGATTTTCAGTTACACTTCAAATTAAACAAGTAATGACTTGATGATGATGACCTGGGTTTTTGGAACTATGTAGACTTGTTGCTAGATGCCAATATTTCAGAGAAACATACTGTCTCCATCTTCAGGGCTTCAGCCCAGAACATAATCATCATCATCCTCACTGCCATGAAAACCCCAAATATTACAATTAATGACTTACCTGAGGCACCATGTTTTTGAAAGATTCCATAATTTTGGAGCTCTTGCTTTCTTGGTAATACGAAAAGATACCGGTGACGATGACTACGGCAGCCAGCACAATGCCAAGGAACAGCTGTAACATCCATAACAATTATCAGAGCATTGTACGTGGTAACAGAACAAGGGTTCAAACTTTAAAACAAAAAAGATCCATCGCTGGACAAAATCCTCGGACAGTTATATCATCTACCTGTCATCCTCAAAAACCATTCATCTAAATTACAGTTTCATATTATCCTCCCAGCCGTTTCTCCATTTTATAAACCACGACTTTCCCAGATGTTTCCCCATCAAAATTTTTTGCATGATTTATTTTCTCCTCCAGCCTACATGCCCGATCCATCCCTCGTAACAACAGCTGGCGGCCTGTAAAATTCAAACAAGTGATATCTTGTGAAATACTCTCCTCAGCAGCCAATTCTTAGATTATTTTAAATTTCCTTTTCTCTTGATCGAGTGTAACTTTGCCTAACCACTGTTATCGCTTTAGAGGAATGTCCTACGTAAGCGATAACAAGCGAGCTGCATAAGCAGCATGGGGTGTCATATGAAGCGGGGAATCGCTTGTTGTGTCCTACGTGAGAGATCGCAATAGAAGCCTGCGCATGCGCCTTCCGTTTACTGCACGGACAGAGCTTTCTTGCGCATGCGCCTTACTGGCCAGCGCAGCGACTCGCGCGAAAATATCAAAATATTTGATCTCGGACTTTGGCCGCCGACCGCTTCGCTGTAACCTAGGACAGCGCCACACAACAACCAGTTTGATATTTTCGCTTCACCCACGCGACTCGCACCGCTCGCATTTAATCGCTCACGTAGGACAGCGGTTAAGATAACTGTTTTTTGGGGGGGGGCTGCATTTAATGCAAAAAGAAAATCCATGAATACTTACGTTGTCATCTGCTGGCTCTTCCACTGTGCTAGCCTGGATGGAATAGGCAATGAAACACAGAATTGCACCAATCCACAATAACAAGGCAAAGCCTCCAAAAAGGTTCTTGCAGAACTTGACCCATTCTGGAGTTTGTCTAGGTGGCGTGAGGGCATTCGGACCGTCCCTCTCCAGATTTTCCTTTGCTTTTGCATGTGTCAGACCCTGAAAAATACATTAGAGCCTTTTAACCATATATAAAAGAGAAGAAACATAACAACACTTATCTATAAATTTACATTAACGCAAAGATCACCATCTTGCTTCCAGGCACCTTGATCCCCTCAGAACAGTTTCTTGGTTTGGTTGTATTATGCACGTACGAATAACAGCCCTCGTTTATATTCAAAACAAATCATTTAAACAAAATGTAAATATGAGCTATGCATTGTTATAGGAATCCCCCAAATGTCCTTTCCTCTTTTGTCATAATTCTGCACACATAAGTCAAAAGCAAGAGTGAGGTTAGGTTCTGTTTAAATCCAAATATTCTGGGCAATCTTACTTACAGTGTCCGGATTTGTGCTGAATCGCTGATATAGTTCTTCTACAGAAATCTTATGAAAGTCGATATCCAATTCCTGTTTCAAATCATCTAAATTGTCTCCCTTCTTTGCCTTTTTACGAGACTGAAAGTAAAAAAGAAAACAATTATTAGCACTACCTAATAAGTGGTAAGTTTCTTATAAAATTACGTGCAATTAAAGAGAAAATATACATATGTACATCACATAAAACCAAATCCATGCAGGAGGGAGTCCTCCTAATGCTGTTAATAATCGTGCCTTACTCAAAGTCGACAACCACGTATTGTTCATACTTCATTGAGACTGTTTTGCGGACAGAGGCAAATAATTTACGTTACGTTGCCAGCGATAAATTCCCAAAATCGTTACATGCATTTTATCCACCTCTAAAAGTAAAAAAATTGCATATATTTACCTCTTTCGACGTTATTATTCTGTTCAAAACGTGTTACTGTCTAAATCATTCATGACACTGTGTATTTTTAACGTGTTCTTTTAGAATACTTAAAGTGTTTAGCAACCGGGGGGGGGGTGTTAAAAAGGGAAGGCAATGAAATGACACGGATGTAAGTGACGTGAAAAGAAGTCGACAATGAACTGCATAACTTGCAACTCTGCAGTTCATACCCGTAATTTACTGCCATTGTGAAAGTGTTCAGATCGCGAAGGTGGCCTGGAGTGTCACACACCCTGAACAGTTACATGGCAGACGGCGGAAGATACAGTAGAATCATACTGGTTGAGAAAAACCACGAAACCTCTCAATCAGAGCAGCATATCCAGTGTTGAAATGGAAGCCAGATCTTCCGTACCAATAAATAATTCGGTCAACCAAAAATCTTGTCCATAACCAACGTAATTAACGAATGTACTGAATCTTGCCAGACACACAACTGAATTACTTACCCACCCCTGTACAGTCAATAATAAGTTGTGTGTGATGTTATGCAACACTAACGGGACTTATGTTTCAAGGTAACAATGTAATTCCATCAAAGACTTAGCAGAAGAATCGCGGTGCTCAGTACTCAGCTTTATTCCAGTCTTAACCAGACTATACGGGCCTGATCCGGTCTACAAGTGACCTGACTCGACGTCGCTTACAATAAGATCACAGTCGTTTGGAACACCGAATCTACCTTTTCAACAAAACTGGTTCACTCCGGCCGTGTGCAAGCAACGACCGGTGTGATCCAGACCATCTGACGGCCATCAGGCAGGCAATGCATTAGTCGAAAGGCCGAGAGACAAAAGACGCATCAGTCTGGCTTAGGCACTCCCCCTCAGTGTGAACAGCTCCAGGACAGAAGTTCGTACAGAGAGACGCTATTTCCCATAGGCCCAATGTCATAACTACTGAGTTACGTTCCCGAATAATCGAAAATGTAGGAATAAACTAATCATATGGAAACATAATGCTACAGAACCATGACCAAATCTTTCACAACACGTGCGATGAGCAAAGCAAATTGACTCCTTGTTTGTGTTTTCGTTAGCACGCGTCTGGGTTTGTTCTTAAGGCAAAGGCACAGTTCACATACGGACGAGCCGAGCGCAGGGTGTGAACGTGATAAAGTTTTTTTATAACACAAACCTCGTGATACTGATCTTCGTAAAGTGAAGAATGTATGTTCTGTTATTGAGCGACTCGAACATCACAAAGTTTGCAGAACTTGTTAGAATTGCTTTTAACACAAATGTAAAGTTTTCCCTGCCATCAAGATAGCGAGGACCTCGGTAATGGACGTAAGTTAAAGTGTTGAGCGTCACGTTAAGGTCGCGTGTCTATGCGGAAATAGTACCATAGTATTCTTTTGTTATGAGACGGTGGGGCCAAGTCTGAAACGAAACCAGTCCGAAGGAGACTGCTCGGAATCGAACCCCCATTTGTCAAGCCCACAGCAGTGACTTTGCTTCACATCTCAGAAGACAGTCATATTAAAATTTTGAATTATGCAACCTATTTCATCGTCACCTATTATTTGTTTAGGCGGTTGCAGTCAGCTAGGAAAATGGCCTGCTACGGAATGGTTGACCCAAGGTCTGACGCACCTCACTGGAGGTGGCACAGCCTCCTTCCGATCCAGTGCGTAGCAGAGATGCAGAAGATAGAAGATTCTATATTGCATGGCAGCAACTTGATTTTCCTCCTGAATGAAATTATTTTTTACCGTCGTTCCGAAATATCTCAACTTTGTCATATTTCCAAGGGATTTATTATATACATTATACAATGATTTTGTCTTGTAGCCTGGTGATGAGACACGAATATATACTCAGTTATCTGCGTTTACTACGAGACCAAATTCCTTACTAGAATCTGAAATAAAACGTTCATTATCTTGGGCTAACATCGTCGAATGCGATACACCCGAATTCAAATCTCGACCCGGATACACAAACTCGAGGCTTTACGTAGTTTTCCTCGATCCATCCAAATAAAATACATCGAAATCTCTTCCTTCCACATTCTTTACAATTCACAATCCACAATTAGTCCGTCCTAACTGACGCACGGAGATGAAATATCGATATTTTTATTTTCCTTCATCCTACTTCTATGTCCTGACCCGCACAACTGTGGATTCATGGTCTGAACGGGTACCTTGCCACTTGCATTGCTTCTGCACTCTCCATTAATAATTACGTGAATAATCTCATCTGCATACGCAAACAACCACAGCATGTAGGCCTAATCCGAACTCTGGCTACTGCAACATTCATCATGCTTCGTCATATCTTTAGCGGTTTAATCAGCTGTTAAAATTCCATTCATCAGAACTATCCATAAAGCACGGAAATTCAATTACGCAAGTTTTACCAATTCTTAAATCTTCACGCCGCCCACAAGCTGTCAAACGGGAACCTGATCCTAGGAAACATACCATCACCAAGGTTTTCCTTGGTTACACAAGACAAAATTGTAGGTATTTCTAACGAAAACTGGTGAAATTCTGAAACATTACTGGTACCTTAACGCAGGCCCTACTAGCTTACGCAGCTGACAAATGCGTCATTAAATAAAACAAGACTCGAGAGCACGGTTGCATATGCATTTACGAAGTACAGTCGGGGTGAAACAGCGCGAAAGTTTCGACTAACGATAGGTTAACGCACTCTACACTTAACGCTACGTTGCCACTTTTACGTACAAGGTTAACCTACTGTTACGCCAGCATGATATTGGCAACGTCGAATGACTACTTCAGGCCAACGTTTGCAGACCCTCATGGCAATGAGACGCTTTCACCTGTGCGTTGTTTTATAACAGCAGCGACGCCATTTCTGTCCAGAGAAGTGATTCCGTCGCAAGGAGCCTGCCGGTTGCCGAGCCAGGGCGGGGCAAAGGCGCTTCGCCCCAGCCACAGGACCAAGCAGGGTTAAATTAACAGCAATCGAAAGTAACGTAGAGAATTTCGGGCTTTCCCGAGCCATCCCCCCTCCCCCTCCAAAGTTATCTCATCGACCTGATTTTCTCGGGGATTTTCGTAGTTGGCTCTTCCGTAACAAACTTCGCATCCGATACCTTCGAACCGTTCCTCAAACGCCAAATAACCTTGAGATGCTGTTGAGCGTCGTTAAATAATTCATTCAAGAATTACTGGCATTTATACACTACAAGAAACCTGTTTCAATGATGCGATAGTCAGCGCAGATTGGAAATAGATCGGGCTGCAATTAAACGGAAGCCGGGCTCAAATGGGGTACGGGTAACATATACGAAGTTAAACTTCGGGTTCGGGCTAATTGGTCCTGGGGTCACGCCTTGTAGCATTTAAAAATGTCGGCCCATGCAGACTTCCAACACGGAAACTTGGAAAAGTAATCTGTAAATGTCGGATAAAATTCAAAATTGTCGTCTGTGGTCTATTGAATTTTGTCGCAATAGCAATCTCAGAAAACACGTAATTCTTTCCTCTAATATTAAAATTACGTCACATAACACGTCTGTGCGTCGTTATCTTTCAGTTATGCATACGAAATCGTAAGACTATCGTGAATTTGAACGAGAAAGACCAAACATCATCCTATCTTTCGGCCTACATGTGGGTGCCAGACAAATCCTACATTGTATCTAATCGACAAGTTATCGAAACACTCGATACACGTCACAATTTAATCTCCCGTTTGGACTAGTGAGACAAATTTCAACAAGTAAAACGCAGACCTATATCTAGAAAGCATTCAGACGTCTTCATACTGATATGAATCATGACGGATCATCTGTAATGTATCTTTGTGAATAACATAATCAAGCGATCAATAATGTTTTCGTAAAGGATCGAATGACGAACTCGATACCAGCATTTAACGTTTTCATCTCAAATGTTTTACTTCTGCAGATGATTTCCAAAGCCACACACACGCGCGAAATGTGCCAATGATTTTACAAGGTATTTAATACCATTACGACGTGATTTTAAACCACTTAAATTTTAAAACACGTTATTCGAAACGACATCTCGATGCTTTCTTACTGAAGTTGTTAATGGAAAAGTCAAGTGTCCAAGTAGTCTATTTCCTGTCGATGTTAAACAGCTCATCCTCGACTTCTTGTATCGTTATTTGGTCCTTTTTCACATTTAAAAGACTACAATTAATTAAATTACCGTCCGTTATATTAAATCGTTGGAAAATTATTTGTAGTTAAACGAAAAACTTACATGAAAGCGTTTCCTTCGCTAGTGAGTAACACATTTGTTCAGAACAGCAGTGCTTCCGACCTCGTTTCGACCGCGACAGCACTGTTAAATATACGACTATAGAGGTCACGGAGAGCAAGCCAACCCACGCGTTTACTGTTAACAATTTCAGTCTTCGCTGAGCAAGAATTAAAGCCCCTGTCCCCCGTCAGCGAAATCAGACCACTGGCGTCAGGACACGAAAGTAAAACCCGCTTACATTTCACTAAAAAATCGAGAATTCCAGACTTCGAACATACTAACGAAAAACCGCATAAACCCTTTGAAGCCAAAGCTCGTCTACTAAACATATAAAAATTCGGTCCGTACCGCAAAGAAAACAACTCTTCACCACTGCAAAGATCAACTGGCAAACGCCGTTTAAGGATATAATCGCTGTTTGGAGTGAGAATCATACGAAACCCAGTGAAGAGTTACTGACTGTTCAAGCAGGTGGGGCACATACCACCGGGCTTTAGAGGGTTAATGATGAGAACCGTTCAGTTCATATTACACCTGCGTCGTTATCAGGGAGCAGATGTCCCAGCAAACAAAGGCCAACAGATCAAATTCAGAATGCAATAAAATGCCTAGCAAGTGGTTAGGTTAAGTTGCTATCACATTCATACGCCAACATAAACGGCATTTTGTTACAAATGGTACCCAACGTTACGAAGCCAACTGCAGAGTCAGAATCAGCGAACAAAACAAATGCAGTGGCCATTTTCACTAACAGTATCTCCCACGACCACATTCGTGTACGAAAAACTACAGTCGTACGTCAAAACTTTTAAAAAATATATATATAAAGTCATTTTATGAATCCTAACCTTTCACGTAATGAGTTCAACCCAGGAAATATATCATGTCATTTGTATTTCCGTAACTAAAAATATATAAATTTTTGCTTGGATGAAAATACCGCCCAACAGAAAGTTGAACTTAACAATTACAAAATTCAGTAATAGTTCTCGGCAGAAACTGGCGATTTTAATAAGACGTACCCTGAGGAGAACTGAAAATGTTGTAATTCAGATTTGTTCAATAATTTATCTTTCGCACAGTACCATGGATACGCCATCTGTACGCCTACTGGATTCCACTAAATCCAATGCACAGTCAAAAGTGACATTAGTCTAATCAGAAAAACCGGTTGCAATTCATTTGTTTCTATTTGACCCTCTGAGCACGTAAAAGACACCAGAGAACATCACTCCACATAGCTTATCACTCGTATTTCACCACGCCAGTGAGTGGAAGAGTGTACCTTGTCCCTTCCATCAGCTGTCTTGTTGTCGTCATGTGTGGTTGAGATGGTTGCTACGCGATATGAATCTGACCGTCCATGCTGAAACACAACAAAAAATGCAGGGATGCCTAGTAACTACAGTTTAAAATGCAAATAAAAATTACTGGGGGAAAAAAGGTAACAAACATTAATACTGCATGCAAAATCATGGATAATAGGAATGTAACAACACAAACATGTAAAACAAGCTCTTAACAAATACACAACTTAGAACTAAAAGATTTTAAACAGCCACCAACAGTCCCGTTGTAACCTCAGAGACTTACTACAAACTTAAAAACGTGTTATTGATGAGATGGGGTTAGGTTAGTCTCTTGTGTAACGGGCTCCAACTTGCTCATTGTCCATCCCCCCCTAGAAATGAGTGAATATTGAGCAGCGGTGGAATAGTGACTAAAACCATCCCAAATCCCACACGAAACGACCTAAACGCGAATCTGATACGGATTGATGTCAATGTTGTACCTAGTACCAAGAACACGCTCCGAGTCGAAGAGAATGTCTTGCAGTTCTGCATACTCGTTGGCCTTGGGGCTCATTTACGAACACGCAGATACAATTCCCATCAGCTAACCGCACCGAAGACGACTACATTACACGGGGTTTTACATTCTTCTCTTGTATTCCGTTAAATATTACCAATATCAAATTCTTTCCAACAACAATAGTTTAAGATTCGATTAAATACATACGCATATTTAAAATCACCAAAATTGCACTTTGTACAAGCCGGATTTTGATAAAAATTTGAGTTAAATGTGAAATGAGGGGTTGTGTTGGGTCGATAAGGATTAAAATTTTATCTAAAAAATATAACGTATTTTTTTTGATAACTTTATATGTAATATCCTGCGATACCGAATGGGTCATATATCGCAAAACAAAGTTTTTTTTTAATGTGTAAAAGACAAATTTTCCGGATTAAGCCTAAAGTTTTTAGACAAAGGAAAGGCATTTCAAGTGGCAAGCAACAATTACAAGTAACGATATATATTGCACTTTCATCAAGGGCTACGTTACGATCAGCTAGCTCAGGATATAATGTGGTGGCTGGGTTTTGTGAGCACGGTGATGAACCTTCCGTGTTCCATAAAGAAAGTGGGTTATTCTTTGACAAGCCGAGTACACAATCAACTTTTCAAAGAATTTCCTCCACCAAAGCGTGTGCTACGTTACGCTTCTCCCAGAATGGCCGTCATCTGCAGTTCCACGCCGGACCGTAGAAGAAATTGGACTAAACCATAATTTGCGTTACATAACACTGATTTTTCTAACAGTAAAAAATGAACTGGCCGGTAAGACAAGACCATCTTCCAGGTAGCAGGCGCCATGTTGAGCAAAAAATTCGGGTTCCAAATGGTGGCTTCTGACAGCACAAAGACATCACAAACCGGAAGGACGAGGAAGAACAAAGGGGGGACTGTGTAAAAACTATCCAACGAATGACAGCAGTCCGCTAATCGTTCAAAACCCGGTGGTAACTCTACGTACCACCTGCAATAAAAATCAATAACTTTGCATTTTGGCCGTGGAGTGGATTTACGTGTTTCCTACATTTCTCTGAGATAAACAGCGTTAACCAATTGATCTTTGCAATGGTTAAGTGTGCTTTTCTTTGGGGTAAGGGCTGAGTATTTATAATTCTGATTAAATTCGTCTTCAAAGGGTGTTCAGCGCGCCCTCTACATTCGACCGCTTCCTTCACATCGAATGACTCATACAAGCTTTGTTACACGCCTTTGTGTCGTGTTCAGCGGCAAGAGATGGTTTACGCGACCGTCATGAACCGGTGAGAAGAAATTCATACTTTGCTCGTTTCGAAAAGTACCATCAAAGTTGTTAAACGACAGAGCTCTGCTAAAACCTACGCAACCCGTAATTAGACTGCCGGGGATATTTTCTTTTCGCCTTCAATCCTACGGATACTGGGTTTGCTTCATTGGAGGGCAAAGCGGCTATGACGTGAAGTTAACCACTCACTTCCACCAACTGTCAAAATTAATGTGAGAAGCTATTCGTCCAACCCCTCCCCTAACCGCGCGTCTGCATAAGTACGAGGGGAAACTTCACATGTATCGAAATTGAAACTGAATAGTAGTCGGGTCCTTATAAATAAATTGTAGAAGTTGCCGGATATCGTATGGTAAGTACCAGCACGCAGCTTGTAGGGGGTTTGTGAACAATATGACAGTAAACTACTCACTGATTTCAGACGTACATCGTTGATTCTCAGAATTTCTTTATTTAATTTAATTTAAAAGATTTCCAAATTAAATTACTGGATTATAATACCGTAAATGTTGGATTAAATGCCGAACTTCAATAGTGTCATAGTTCGAAACGTATCACAGGAAAGTCCAAAACATCAGTCCGGTGTTACATAAAAACTAACCCTCAAACATTGGTAAACGCAACGCTAAAACCGACCGGTTTAGACCAGTCAGAACCTAGCGTCCCCATAGCAACCAGTAAATAGTAGACTGTGGGGTTCGTTCGATCGTTCGTCCATCATGGAAACGGAAGGATAACATCGGGTATGAATTTCCCATTGGTTTTGCATTAAATATTCAGCAAGGAATAGCGTGCACGAAAATGACCCTCTTAGAGCGTACACGAAAGAATCAAAATTCCCCGAACATGATGTTCCCTGCACAGTCTTTTTATTTTATAAGTGGAAGCTCAGTAAACAGTCCGTAAAAATTCCTCACCGGCACACAAAAAACAGACATAAACTTTATTCAGTTTACTACAGTTTACACTGTAAGACCGGCTGTATTATGGTCAAACTTTATGCAATCCCGCGTCACACTTCGAAAGGTCAGGGTGTTGAGGATAATCAACGGAAGGGGAAACTACATCATAAGCCAGATGTAGGCTGGCTGGATTTTTGGTTACGTTACCACAAACTCAGATTTCAATTCTGTCAGAAACGTGACAAAAAAAGCTGGAAGACGAGGGGTTCAACATCGGCCGAGGAAGGGTAATACTTTCCTCGTAAGCTTGCTTGCTACTCAGTGCAGCACAGTAGTCTATGACAATGAGCAAACACTTTTTTTTTCAGATAAGTTGACACAATGGGTAAATGTTTGCAGGCCACATAGTAACACACCGTTATCCCCTTCCCCCCTCGCCCCGCAACGCTCCATTTCATTCCTAGATCAATACTCAACCGCCAGACTCCAAGCTCGCCGACAACCGTACAGCGGACTTTCGCAAGGCGCAAAGAGCGGTCGAAGCTTCAAGGTGACCACGAAGGCGAACCGAATGTCGAATGATTTCATTTTTTCCAAGGAATCATCTGTCTGTTCAGTTCGGGGGGCCTAACCCGCAAAAGCTGAAGAATATTTACATTGATAACTCGGTGTGGGCATCACACACAGTTCCATTTCTTTGAAGCGACATCGTAAATATGCCCAGTAATTTCCCTGTCTACCACTATCTTCTAACAATGTAATACCCGATGTCCAACACACTTGTTCTCAAACTAACTGTTGCCATGTTAACGCTGGAAAGCGATTCTCGGCCTTGTTATTTGCATTACCTACAATAACGTCTGGCCAACAATTGGCATGCCCCTCCCTCGGCCTGTGTAGTTCGTGACGGCTATTACTGCCACCTGTGGAAGTTGATTAGTTTCTTTTGTGTTGCAGGAGACAGGAAAATTGGAACGACTAGGAAAGGAAAAACGGCAGGAGACCGCCCTTGCACATTTCAACGTTCTATCCCGGGAATGACCTGAGGAAATCTCAAGAACCTCAATCAAGATAGCTCCTGGGTTCAAGTCTCATTAAAAATGGTTTCTGTAGCTCGGAAAATGAACACGATAGAACGGCGCCAAGGACAAAATTGTTTCGGCGAGGGTATCGGGGGACCAAAGGAAACGAGCTCGGAAGAAATCTGTCCTCTGTACAAGTCCCGGTGAGGATGGTAGCTCGGCAACTAGGCACGATAGGAGAATAGTGACAACAAAAACAGAGTTGTTTGTTTCGATGGGGAGTCATCAAGAAAGACCACAACCTGCGTTAGAAGTCCTGGTCAAGATGGTTTCAGCAGCTCGTTAACTAAACACGATAGATGAACGGCCCTGCACATTTGTCTAATTTCTCCACAGCAACATTGAGCGACATTTTATCAAAACCTCACAGCGCCATTCGGTGTCGGACGGCGCTGTAGGGTTCTAGTTCGTAATTCTTTTGTATAAGCCATCGGAATCTTTTGCCCTTTACAACTGTTGTAGTCTAGGAAGAGGGTATTCTTCCCTCGAGGTTAGAGGGTTGGAGCAAAGAATCAACAACACACCACT